TTTCTTATTAATTTAGGGTTTTAAGCTTGGAAGGGACAAATAAGATAAGGGGGTTCAACCTCTCATCTCACCAATGAGGGCAACTGAGGACCAGGGCTATTAAGTGACATGTCCAGGGTTTCATACAGTCTTCCTTTCCCTTTATCTCTCTCTTTCTCTCTTTCTGCCTTTCTTTCTTTGTCCTCCCTTCCTTTCTTCCTTCTTTGGCTCTTTGTTCCTTGTTTTTTTTTTTCTTTCTTATGTCCTTTTTAATAATGGAAGAATACAATTCTCCTGACTTTCAGACCCAGTGCTATTCCATGTTGCCTCTTAACAAGTAGACGTATCTTTTCTCACATAAATCCAAGCAAAACTTCTTCTTTATTCCCTCATTTATTATTTATTTGACCAAAACATATTGACTAGGTATTAGGCATTGTTGTGGACTACAGCGATATCCATGATATTTTATACCCTCAAGGAATTCATAGTCCAGGAATAGAGATGGACAGTGACAGATACTTGCAAAGTCTATGTTGAAGCACTGAAGAAGGACACTTAACACAAGCCAAAGTTAGGGAAGAGTAACTGGAGGAAACAATGCCTAGGCTGAGCCCTAACAGAAGAGTAAAGGAAGGGAAATGGAACTTTGGATAAAGTGTAGAGGTGAGATTCTATCATAGGTGGGGAAATACTCATGAGTCCGAGGTAAAGAGTGGTGAGCAGCAAAGAAGGAAAGGAGTGAAACATTTGTTTTAAAGAAATAGTCAAAGAAGTTGTACAGGACTGCAAGCAAGAGGTTCACCTTGAGAATAGCTGACGACAGTGTAAACCAGAACTAAAGATTACAGAGAATATATCTGAGAACATGTTGGATATACAGTCACCAGTGTTTGGTGTCTGACAGACAGGATGATGGCTGCTGGAAGAGGAAGGGTAACTACCAAATGCCTAAATTTGGTTTTTAGAAAATGCAAAATGGGTATTAGAAACATTTACAGAAAAAAAAATGTGTATAGTTTTAAACACATTGGGATTAAGAGCTTCAATTGCACGGAAGAAATCTGGCCTGGAGCTATAGACCTTAGTAGTCATTAGCGTATACATGGCACCTGAAATCTTGAGACTAGATAAGATCAACCAAATAAAGAGTGGAAAGAAGTATAGAAGGCTGGGGAATTCATTCATTCACAAGTAAACTGTGCTAGATGCTACAGATTTATATTATTTTTTTAAAGTGAGTGAAGTTTTATAAAATTCTATTGAGAAAAGTAAGAGAATCCACTAGATGTTAGAAGGTGATAAATGATATGTTGGAGAATGAAATGTTTAAGGAGGAAATAGAGCTCATGAACAAAAAGAGAGAGAGGGAACCATCGCTGAAACCACATGAATGGTAACTTTGAAAAGGAGAGTGATCAGATCAGATGGACCAATTGCAGCCAAAAAGTGCAGTAAAAACTGGCATTACAAAATTATCAGCCAAATGCTTGGAGCAGAGCTAGTGAATTTAAGTATATAAACAAAAATCAAAATGAATGATAATGTATATACACACTAGAAGCTTAATGAGAAGAGAGTCCTGGTAGAAAGGAATGTGCGTGTTTGTTAGATGTTACTTTTCTCACTACTGATTGGCAGTGAATTTACAATTTATTTCCATTCCAATTCTACAGATTTAATGGCTGGTTTAAAAGCAATCTCTGCCCTCAGGTAACATAACATATGCAAAGATAAGACAAATACATACAATCTGTCACAAGAAATCTACAGGTATTCTCTAGCCTGTAATTTTTAAAATAAAGTATTTCCATGTGTAGTTATCATATTAGTTGATACATGATTACTGCATGTGTACTAAGTGAAAGATAGTATTCTAGGCCCTGGGCAGGGGGCGGGGAAGACATCCAACATACATTTCCTGTTGTCCAGGGATTGTCAGTTTAGCTTGCATCTTTTATGAAGGTTTATTTCATTAATTTTGGGAACACTACATTATTAGAAAAATAATAAGAGCATGTATAGCTTATTAATTAAGTTTAAATTGTTTCCCCCTTGATAGTAGGAACAGAATATTAATTAGTCTTTTCTAAACTATTCTACAATTATGCCTAGATTATAATAAAAGATTTCCGTAACCAGTACCACGTTTTAATAGATGTACCAATAGGACTTTAGTTATATGCCAGCAACAGAAAAAAATATTATGCAGTTATTATGATATTTCACATTGATGATAAGGTTCTAACTATAAAGAAAACAATCACCATTACTTCTGCCAACTACTAAAATAAAATTCAAAGGAACATTATTAATTAATGGATTTCTTAAAATAGACTTTTAAAATGCCCTGTTGATTCAAGACAGTGTCATGCCAATAGTAAGCAATTAATAAAATCTGAATTGATATAGATATTAATACACAGTATCTCCTAACATGGCCTGTGCTGGGATGCACTAATATTAAGGTTTTTTACTGTATTGACAAACAGAGCATAAAAATGGACTTATCATTAAGCCTACTTTATTAATTCATAATTGCAAAATTCTTCGTTACCTGCCTGTGTTCAAATGGCTGTGTACTGAGAACTGCGGATCTGTCAAGACATGATGACACCTGCCCAACTCATCTATTCACAATCATGACCAAATTCTAGCATGTCTTGATGATGGGTCTAGGATGATTCCACCCCATTTTGAATGCCTTCCTGAGAAATCTCAGTGCTGACAGAATTTACTGTTTGTTTCAGCCAAAACCCTACAATAGGCCCCTGAAACCTTTCCTAGAGCAGTTATTTTAGAAAGCTGGCACCTTTGAAATGTTAAATACCACCCCAGTGTTTGTTTGTTGTTGTTGTTGTTTTTCAAGAACAGGACAGCAATCTCTTTAAAATGCGCTGAGGTAGCCCTGGTCTGGCTCCCAGTCCCTGTGGGAGGATGAGGGCCCAACTTCAGTGGGTGCCTTACATCTACTGGACACTGCCTCCTTTCATATAAATAGAAGTTTGTTTCTCCTCTGGATATGCACCAATTAACAAGTCACAGGGACCAACCCCCCTCAACACCTTTCAGCGTTTTTCTTCTAGTACCCACCCGTCAGCCTTTAGAAGATCTGCTTTTTGTTTTGAGGATTTGAGTTGTCTGTGCTTGCCTCTTTTCCCTGTTGGAGTAGGTGCTGAATGAAACCTGTCCTTACCACTTTACCACCCAGTTTGGTTTATCGTTGAGAACACCTTCTACTAGAAAATCTTACATCTTCATAACCTCCTCTTCCCCCCCACCATCCCCTAAAGAGGATGGCCTGAGGCCCTTGGTCTTTTCTTCTTTCTACATAGTATTCCCCATTTACAGGTCACTTGGACTATGCTGTCCCTGTTATGGGCATGTAATAATCAGAACAAGGAGGGACGCCTGGGCGGCTCAGTTGGTTAAGCAGGACATGATCTCACAGGAAATGAGTCTGAGTCCCGCATTGGACTCTGCTGACAGCTCAAAGCCTGGAGCCTGCTTCGGATTCTATGTCAGATTCTGTGTTGGATTCTGTGTCTCCCTCTCTCTCTGCCCCACCACTACTCATGTTCTGTCTGTCTGTCTCTCTCTCAAAAATAAATAGATAAAAAAGTTAAAGAAATATTCAGAGCAAGGAAGCTGAAATGAAGACTTTTTTGTACATGGAGGTGGAGAGAATGAGTAATGCAACAGTTGAGTTTTTTCTTCTTGATATTTTAAAAGAAAAAGCTATGGACCCTTAGCTTTTAGTAGTAGTAGTAGTAGTGGTATTTATTACCAAGTATCATTACGGAAACCACTAGTCTTTTCTCCCTACCTCTGATGGTCACCACAGATGCTCTGCGAAATGTCTCCAACACACCTGCCTCTCTCATTAGGGCAAGGGCAGCTTCCCGCCAAATGGTTCTTCACCTACTCCAGTGGCTTCTCATGCCATGTACTATTTGATACTTTTGATACTATGGAACCCTCCTGCTCTTCCATGAAGAGCATGAAGAGAATGTGCTTCTTAGGAAGGGTTTAGATCAAGTTATGGCGAGTGAAAGCCAGGTCCACCCACCTTCCACCTATCTCCAGTACTTCAAGACATTTTTGTCTACTTCCTGACATATCAACAAAGTTCCATCCAAACTTGTTCCTGAACAGAGCCTTCACTTTCTTCACCTGCCCCCTCTGCCTTTTCCCTTTTTCATAATTTTAATGTGAAAATTCTATCTTTCAGAGAGAGTCCATTAACGTTTCATATTCATCATTAGCCCAGGAGGACTTTCCAGCAGAATGAAATAAGTAAACTCTCCTTTTTAACCCCATTACATTTAAAAAAAAAATTTTCTCCTAGTACCTAATTTTATTTGCTGTTTTATTTTCCAATCTCTCCTTTTAAGAGTAAGGATTTTGTCAGAGAGTTCTGTATACAGGCAATAGTTGATAAACATTTCATCAGTGTAAAAGAATGGCAGAAACATGAGTAGCAAATCATGTTTCCATAAAAAGATAAACTTAAAGGTTTTGCAAATATATCCTGAGATTAGCTTTACCTTCAATTCAGTTTTCCATACAGCTAATATGGGGGAAAAAACTTCCCATAAGAAGGCATATCTTTTAATTTAAAATAATAAGAATGTATGGTTTTAAATTCTCCCTGGGAGACAAGTAAGTACTAAAAAAAAAAAAAAATCAGATGGTAAAAACAGCTTCTTTGTTGAATATTGCATTCGATCATTGTGAAGACAGTATTCAAAACCCACAAGTAGTTCCCTGGACTTGCCAGTCACATAATGGTTACGGTTACATATTTTCATCATTCACTGAGCACCATTAAGTTGAGCTTTTATTAGAATATATATCTATTTAAAGTATAAATCACTATTTAATATGTTGGCCTAGCACAAGATATCCATGACAAGATGTGAAATTCATTATGCATTATTAAAGAAACTCAAGGAGTTTCCACAACCAAAGAGGAATTAATTTTGCAAAAGTCTGGAGAAGTGTAAAGATTTTAATCTTACCTTAAGAACTCTTAATGAGAGATCGGTTCAAACAGAGTTCATCATCTCTGAAATGGAACACAAAAAGTGCTACCTTCATGAAGTAAAATAAAATTTAAGTAGGATAATACATAGTTTATTTGGACTCATGGTTAAGATAAGTTATAAATGCAATTTTTTTCTACACATCTTAAAGATACTGGATGAGTGGCAGAAAGAAAGCCTGAAGAATAAAGGAAGTAAATTTACATTGGGACAAACACCTACACCTACACTTTTTTGCCATGTAAATTTCCTCATAAGAGGAGTAGGATTTCCAGAAATTTACCATTAAATAAACCAGGTTCACATGTTCAGAAATAGTTCTAAGCTATGTCAACAACACAAAACCGTAGCCACCTCCTGGGTAAACTTCAAAACCACAGAGGTGGTATTCAGTAAATTAAAGACATCATCTGGACAAACACAGGAGAGAGTTATTAAATCTTTGTGTCCGGTAGCCAGTTTCTACAGCGACGCCCAAACACAGAGAGATCTTTACTCCAAGAAAGAGCATTTGTGATTCAATACATATATCTGCAGTAGCCAGAAAGTAGGTGAGAAACAGAGGAGGCAAGCATTCTCTGCTTCGGGGCTTTCACCGCAGTCTTTTAGGAAACCAGCTTGTATCTCACCAGACTGAAAGGGCAGGAAGGGCACCAGGATGGTGAATAAGACTTTTCCTTTGGGCTCTGCTCACAGAGGAGGGGAACAAGGGTTTTTGTAGACATTTCTGCAATAACTTCTCCCTTGGCATGGGGAGCCGGAGATGCCAACACAACTGTCACTACTGCTGCGATGGCGATGTTGAACTTTTACCGGGAAAAGTGTAGAGAAGCACACACACATCTCAACAACAGCCTTTGTCTTTAATTCATGATACTAACACACAAGCCCATAGGAACACATATATACTATATACTGTCCCAATCCTCTCTCCCATCTACATTCACCTTTCATGCATGGCTTGACTTTATGTCATATCCTGAATCATCCTCTGAGTTGTATTTCCCTCTGTCCCTCAGTTGTCGCTATTTCTTTTGCTTTGTAAAAAGATCAGGAGCAGACTTGCCCGCCTCTTCCTGAAGGAGCGCATGTTGGGTGCCCAGGAAAGTCCTGGAGGCACCAGCTCCGCAAGTTCTCTTGATAGGAAAGTGGGGGGAGGGACAGCCGAGGGGAAGGAATCTACAAAATGTTACTAGTAAATGGAACGGGGATCCCTCCGCGGAGTTGGAGTGTCTGTGAAGTGAAGCGGCGGCTTCCTCAGCTCCTAAGCCCCTGAGTCCACACCTGTGAGACCCGGTGCCCTCGCGTGCTGTTCACACCCGCACGACCCGCGGCGCTCCACACCACTTCTCTGGGGCTAAGCTTTCTTTTCAGATGAGCCCCCTTGTGCATCGGAGGTGGTGGCCACTTGTGCAATTGAGCTCCGGGATGTCGCTTGTCCTTTCCGCTTCCTCGCTGGAAAATGAGAAAAACCAGCCAATCACCGGGCCGAGGGGGTGGAGGCTGCTGTTTTCTCAAGCTGCGGGCGCCACCTGCACAAGGCAGGAATCAGGAATCTCCTTCCCTCTTTCCCCTCCCCTCCCACGTCCTCTTCTAATTCCTCTCTCTCTGTGTCTCTCTGTCTCTCTCTCTCTCTCTGTCTCTCCTCTCTCCTCTCCTTTTCTCCTCTCTCGCGCGCGTTCTCTCTCTCTCCCTCCTTCCTTCACCCAGTCGCTCTCTCCCTCCCCAACTGTCTCTTGGGCGAGCACACACACTCCGGCAAGCACCAACCCTTGCACACCCCTGGAAGAAAGCAGCGCGCTAAAAGTCAGGTCGCCCTCCCGGGAAACCTACATATCAGCTGTCTGGAAGTTAGTCCCCTAATCAACGTGGAGAGAACACCTCAGCCTGGGACAGATTAGAGACGCATCTTGCTCAAGGGATGCTTCCTTTAGAGTGGGGAATGGGTTACAAGGGGGCTAGTTTCATACACGCGCCTTTGCTAAATATACACACGCGGACTCGGACTCGCATACACACGCCGACGCGGACTCGCATACACACGCCCTCCCGAGAAGAGTGAATCGAGGAAGGGAGGGGGAATGAGGAGGAGGACGTTTAGTATTCGGTGCACAGCTCGATCTGGAAAGTACCCATACACACATGAACCAATTAGCCGATCGCCCACTCAGGGTGGGTGGTGGATGACCACCCCGATTTAGGATCTTGCGGGAAACAGATGACAGAGGTGTCATTAAGCGCTTTATGGATATTTACGCTACTTTTTTATTGCCTTTGTGTATACTCCTGTACAAGTCAAGAAAACAACAATTTACTTAAACTTCACTGCGGAGAAACAGGATTCTGAGGGAAAGCAGCCACTAAGGACCTCCATTTTAAACACAGGCTGCCCACCCACATTCCGCACTCACAGGAGGTGGGGGGGGGGGGATATAAATGAGAATGGATATTCTCTAAAGGTCTCAGCTATCAGTGGGTTCCTTGTTTTTCTAATGATACTGGAATCTGTGACAGCCTCACCCTCACTATTTCTCCCAGGGTCTGCTTCCATCTTGTCTTTCTGCCTTGCAGGGAGAGAGGCTTCCAAAGGCCTGTTGAGGTCCACAAGCCTCCACCTCACAGCCTGCCTGGGCTCCCTGGTGTTTTCACGCTGGCGTGGCCACAGTTGAGCCTTTGGGGTTTACACATTCTCTTGCTAAAAGAAAAAAAAAAAAAAAATGGTGAGTCACAAGACCACTGATTCTCTGTTCTAAAGAAAGGGACTACAACCACTCCTACCCCCCACCCCCACCCCATCCCTCAAGATTTAGGAAGTTAGGAACCCCTGAGTCTAGAGCCCATCCTCATTAAGAGTAGGCTAAGGAATTGGGTCAAACACGCTCGAACGATCAGTATTATGAACACTGATACTTCTAGTGAATGGCTGGGAGCATTTCCTGGTTATTGATACTACTGCAAATCGACTTTCAATAATGCATTTCTGTCATTGTGACTATTTCTCCATAAACGAAAACTGCAAATTTGGTATTTGTGTCATGTTTGGGATTTCAAATTTTTTACATTATTTTTTAATAATTTTTAAAATGTTAAATGAACATATTATTAAACATAAATATATTATTAAATGAACATCTTATTAAAAATAAAATACAATAGAAGTCATTCATAAAGAAATATTCAGCACTCAATTAAATTAATTGCCTTCCTTGACCAACTACCAGTGTAGCAGGCTGGATGTGAGAGTGCGGGAATGTACACATGAATAAAATACAGCCCCAAACCAGACAAGGAGCTCATTATCTCAGAGGGAAATCAGACTTTAAAATAAACAAATCACAATACTGAACAGCTCACTAACAGTAGCATTGAAAGTATATAGCTTGTACTCCAGTAAATTCCTGGAGTGGTTACAGTTTTGGAGGCAAGGGAGTTGGGAGAAAGAAGGACAGCTTCTTGGGGGAGGACATTTCTAGGCTGTGTTTTCAAGGATGACTAGAGAGTTAGGCAGGCAGACAAAAGATAGACCGTGTCAACCAGAGCACAGCATGTACACAGTCAAAGGCATAGAAAGAATGGTGCTTCAGAAAATATAAGACTGTTCCATATTGTTGGAGCACTAAGTGTGTGTGTGGGGGTGCTTTCAAGAGATTAAGGTTAAATATTTGAGTGGAAATCTTTCATTATAGAGTTGTTTGTAGATAGAACTCAGCAGGGATTCATTCAATTGAACAGTTACTACAACAGTTGAGTAACAAGCTTTATAAAAGATAAAGATAAAAATAAAAGCAAAATCAAAACAAACTCCTCACCAGGGTAAACAAACACGCCAAGTAAGAACTTGTTATAGGAAACTTAAAGTTATGAAGAGAAAAAGCAAAATTTTGTAATTTTATAATGCTGTTCCTTCTGAAAATATTGTAGAGTACCAAAACCATGAAATTTCACATAAAGCATGTAAGATTTCAAGGTTCTCTTCAAAAAGAAAAGCAGACCTGAGGATATTGCATTAACTTTCCAACATAATAGCAATAGTTTATAGTTGAGTAGAAGCTGTCTTTTTTAATGGGGACCTTTCTCCACCTATGCTCCTATTGCATTCTTGGTACTAAATCTTGAAACATTTTTTTAGTATCTTAATTTCTGTGTTATTTTTTTTCATATACTCTGCTTTATTAATGTATTTCAACTACTAGGTCTTTCTCTGTATTTTAATAGAAAACTTTCTCAGGATTTTTCCTAATCTGAACCAGAATATAAGAAAATACTGTAAGCGGTGACTTTCTTACTTATTCTAAGGATGTTTTAGAACTAGGACCACTTTAATTTTTTTTTTTTTTTTTTTTTTTTTTTTGAGAAAGAGAGAGACAGAGTGCAAGCAGGGGAGGGGCAGAGAGAGAGGTAGACACAGTACTCAAAGCAGGCTCCAGGCTCTGAGCTGTCAGCGCAGAGCCCGATGACCTGGGGCTCAAACTCATGGACCATGAGATCATGACCTGAGCTGAAGATGATCGCTCAACCGACTGAGTAACCCAGGCGCCCCAGACTAGGACCACTTTAGATACATAAGAGAGAACGGAATCCACTATACGCATTGAATGCCTTAGAGCATTAGGGCTTAATTCTCTAATGGAGCTCAGTTCAGTAGGTCTTGGAATAAGCATTCTTTGATTTGCTTGTTTTGTAGATACATTTTTTTCATACACTGGGTTTACTTAAGGTGAATAGTTGAGCAAATAACTGAACGAAGCACTTGTGACTTGAAAATGTGTGTGAAGCATTTAGGGGAAGTCACACATGCTGAGAAAGAATCAATGAGTAGTTACTGGAGGGGGCCTGAGGGAATAAGGGGAAAAAATGAGTCTAATTCACATCTGACCTGCTTCTGCCCATAGTAATATAAATAATTGATCTGTACTCTGCACTACCACAATTATCTTTCTTCACACACTTCTCGAAGCTTTATGTCAATACATATGGAAAACCTAGGGAAAATTGTGCTCTCAGAATAGGACAGCTTAACCAAATTGCATGCTAGTTACAATTGTGACCTATAATTAGAAAAGGCAGGAAAATGCATTTTAAAATTATTTCAGAAAAATGTAAAATGTGTTTCTTCTTTATCTTCAGTGAAACCTAAAGTATAAACTGTTCACCTTTTAGCAATGTGCCCGGATAACTACAAAGAACATTGCATGGAGGCCTGGGGCTGGAAGTAGGGTGAATCCAATTGTTTATGATAGATAGATATAGATATAGGCATAGATCCAGCAAAGGGGACAAATGCATAGACAAGAGAGTTCTCAGGATGCGTGAGTTAGTGAAACATGTATGAGAGGTTGAATTTCTGTGGCGAGGCACCCAGAATCTATGGGAGGCTTGGTTGTTCGTTTAGTGTGCTAGAGGCACTCATCACATTTCTAGTGAGGCAGCTTTCTACACAAAGAGGATGCTTGGATTGCTGATTGTGTCTTGCCTTCAATGGATAGGATTCTTTTTTGGTGTTAAAACAAATAACAAAATGTTAAAGCAAATAAGAAAATCAAAAATAAGAAACCAACACAGAGATGTCTCAAGATCCAGCCCGGTAGCCTCTATTCTCTGAGGAAACAACCAAGGAAGCTTAAATACACCCATCAGGGCACCAACAAATTCAGCCGCCTCAAATCCAGTGAAGGCATTGGAGATGTGACTAGAATCATAGAAAAGACCTGAATATCACGTAATACAAACATCTTATTTTACGTTGTGGCACCTGAAACAAAGTAATTTCAAGTAATTTGCCTAATGTATCATTTGTTCATTCATTCATTCCCTCATTCATTCAAGAAATATTTACTGTATGCTTCTTGTATGCCAAGGATATCAGGGGCTGGGGATAAAGCAGAGAACAAAGAGTCATATTCCCTTCTTTCTTACTGTCTAAAATGGAGATAAAAGTACATATAAAAGCACTTGAGATACTTATTTTAATAGGCACAGAAAGGAAAACACTTGGGAATATAATAGGGAGTCATTTTAGATAAGGTGGCCAGATGACATTGATTTAACACATGAAAAATAAGAAGGAGCTGACTCTACAAATGAGCAGGGAGAACAGAAAATTTAAGGCTAGAAAGCATAAAATGGCTTGGCTAAAATGGCTGAAAATGAACATAAAAGAGATCATTATGGCTAGAGAAGCAAATTGGATGGCAGTGAGAAATGCGTTTGGGGATATTTGAAAAATAAACATCTCATAGTTATATCAGAATCTGGAGCATCAGATTACTAAAGGAATTATTTCTATACAGTGTTAGTTTGAGGGGGTAGATTTAAAGAAACATCTCTCATATCACATATTCTATCTTCAGGTTTAGGCACAAAGACATATATGATTAAAGTCTGTAGACCTTGGTATTTTACCAGGTAATGTGACAGAGGAAAAGAAAGAACAAATGCTAAAGATGATTTATGTATTATGATTATAATAATTAATAAATAACAAAGTTGTATAAAGAGAAGAGTAAGAGTAGAAGAAACAGAAGAGTAATGAGAGATTAGAAGAGTCAAGAACTCAGTTAAATGAAAACTTTAAGG